TTCTTCAGCTCCGAGGGCTAGATAATCGTTGCACAGAGACAGACTGTGCGGCTTTACGTCTTGCTACGTCTCAGCAAACATAGACCGGAGTAGTAAGTGTAAGTCCTAACTCTGATTTCACACTGGCGAACGAGAATACCCCCAAACAAGAGCTCTGGTCCTGAGAAGAGGGTATGGGGGAGGTCCTCATGAGTGTGGGGACTTTTTTTTCTCTCATTTAGGCTGAAGGTGGGGGTTGGGGTGATAGCCATCCCCATTTTCTACTTTCGCTAGAATTTTCCCTTTCTGCTGAAGGTTCTTCACTATTTCCTTGACCCTTCTTAGAGAGAGGTTATCATCTTTCCAGAGCAGCAAGTTGTTACTGTTTCTCTTAAAAAAAAAAAAAAAAAATCAAGCACCTGTCTAAAGCAAGAGGTCATCTGGAATTCTCCAAAGCTGTTCAAGAATGAATACATTTATTTAAGCACTCACTGGTTTTGCACCAGAAGGGCTCACCCACTGGGTAGGAGCATATGGTGCACAGGGAGGAAGCAAAAGTAAAAGCTTTAAGACGTTTTGCAATAGGGGCATGTCATTTACACGCAATCACATGAAATAGACCATGCTATTTGCAAGGAAAGGCCAGAAGTTCAAACATAGGGAAAGTGATTTATTACCAGACTCTTCAGTGGATATTTTCAACTTTCTGCTTGTAAACCAAACAGCCTTGTCTTATATGCAGCATTCTTGGAGTCCACTCCCCTCCCCCAGGACTAACCAGTATAGAGTATGTAGCATGATTTCTGGGATTTTTCCCTGGGACAAATGCCTGGAAGGTGTTGTGATTGACCAGATGTTAAGTTTTACTAAAGCCAATCTGTGGCAATAAAGGTACTGTTGCAAAAAAAAAAAAAAAAAAAAAAAAAAAAAAAAAAAAAAAAAAAAAAAAAAAAAAAAGCCCCACAAATTTAAACACGCAGTGAAAGTATAAACTGGTTTGTCACTCGGGTGATTTGAAGTTCTTTATCTCTGGAAGAAAAAAAAAGAAACTTGAAGTCATTTTCTTATTCTACAAACAGGAAAATATTTCTGTAACAGAATCTCTAAAGATTCACTTGTTCAAGAAAACTGCACCATTCACAGTTCTTAAAAGACCCGACTGATATGAATGCTTCATATTGTCTTGTTTCAAAGAAAGGGTTTTTCCCTCACCTGCTTATCTTTTAATGTTTGTGCTTTTGAGTTTAAATCAGTCAGCTCCCTCTATGTATCTCTTTTCCTCTTCCACTTTTCCAGAAGCCTAAACATGAAATGATGCATTCTCTGGGCAATCCTCTGCCCTGGCTGAGGGCCAGCAGTGTGCTTGAGAACTGTGATTGGTATCCATACGCTAATTGCCTGTAGATCAATAACCATTCCTGCCGAGAAGTTTTAAATAAAGGGGCTTTGAAATGAAGAAAATGGAACTGAACAGGAAAAGGAAAACAAGTTAATAAACAAACTCATATCCTTCCATCTCAGGCTTACTCTCAATTTAGCTTGTGGCAAATCTCAAACTCAGACCTCATGGAGTCTTGTTAATCCTGTTAATGACTTGTCAGCATTGATTAATTGTACTCTGTAAAGTCTCTTTTAGTTTAAGGGAGAAGGTGTAGCCTATTAAATATACACTCCGAGATTTAGATAATTAGTTGCACTTTTCCCCCTAATTTCTAAAGAATGGAGGCAAATACAAAAGAGAGTCAAGGCTCCTTGGAACATGCTATTTGAAATTTATGCAGACAGAACTAGGAAATATCAGTAAAGCAAAATCTGAGTATATGGAATTCTCTCTCTCTCTGCAGTAAGGCTCCTTGAAAGGTTGTGTGTGTGTGTGTGTGTGTGTGTGTGTGTGTGTGTGTGTGGTAGGCCCCTCAGATAGAAAGTTTCCTTGTGGTCTATACTGACTGGCAGTTTTTAATGCTCTAATCAGGGATTGATTTAAGAGGGATCTTGGAACAATTTTCTTGCAGGGGTGGTTACCTAAGAACAAGAAAATAAGCTCAAGGATGTCATATCAGAACAAGGAATTATGCTTTCCTGTAGCTTCTTATTTGTTTTGCCAAATTACTGGGTGCTGTTAACATGTTAGTGTGCTAAGGATTACACAATGGATGGAAAAGATCCAGTTTCTGTCCTTAAAGAGATTGCTGTGGTGGGGGAATGATTGCATTGGGACTTGTGCTTCTTGTAGTATTAGAAGTCAGCACAGATTGTTGGGTAACCGAGAGGCTTCCCAGGTCAGAACGGGAAAGCAGAGAGGCATGAGAAAAGCTGATGTATTGAAGGAATCCGAAGTAGTTTAGTATGACAGAAGCATAAGATACCTATTGGCGTGTCAGGAGAGATGAAGCCAGAGGGTAGGTAGGCAGGAATGGGTTCAAGAAGAGCTTTGAATGTCATATAATGGAGTTGGGATTATCTTCTGTAGGCTGGTGCAGAACCATTAGTGGGAGAGCAAATTAATGAAATCATGTATGCCTGGTATCAGCAGATCATGCAGAACAGAACCTATTCAGGAATGTGAGGGAGGGAAAATTAAATGTGGAGAATTGATTACGCAAGTGATGGAAGCCAAACAGAGGATATTGAAGCCACTCAAGGATTAGCAAGAACACAGAGTCATTAGTACCTCCAGCCAGAGAGACACAGGGAGTAGGTGGTGTGACCAAAGCCCAGGGACCAGGGCCAACCCCTGGAAATACAATCACTAGGATGGCACAGAGCCCAGTGTGGGGCTCGAACTCACGAACTGTGATATCATGACCTGAGCTGAAACCAAGTCTGATGCTTAACTGACTGAGCCACCCAGGTGCCCCTTAGACTGATTTTATACACCTTTCTCACGGGTCCTCATCATTCCTACCACATTGGCTTTGTCCTTGATTTCTTACCACAATTACTCTAATAGTCTTGTGACTTATCTCACTTCATCTTCTCATTCATTCATTCATTCATTCACTTAGCAATAATAATTGAGCATGTGCAAAATGCCAGGCATGGCTTCACCCTCATGATGCTTACACTTATTATAACATGCATTTAGCAAGCATTTTAAAACCTATGCCAGGAACCAGGATTTGTGCGGGGAGAGGGGAGGAATGACAACGGGGTAGTGCCTCCACTCTCAGGCTCTTGCCTTTTACTAGAAAGAGCCTACTCTGACATTAAAATGGTCTTTCTGAAATTCGAATGTGATCATATCATTTCCCCCATGTCTCCAGATTGCTGAAAACAATATCATATGTTGGTTTCTAATGTGAAATTCTTTTTTCAAGTTTGTAAAAACATCCAGAGCTCAACATCTTAGTAATTTTTGAATTCACAATGACAAAAGGCTGCTGTCATTAATTCTGAACCTCTTTTAAATAAATTTGGTTTTTATTAATCATAATAGCATCTACCTACATTGGTAGGTGAGTCATATTTATTCAGCCCACAGACAGCACCTAGTTGGGCCCTCAGGTCCATTCCTTACCCTTCCTCTAGAGGGCTGACTCCTGCAGACTAGATTTTCAGGCTCCCAAGTCACCAGGCACTTGGCTGAGTTTGGTCATAGGAGGCATTGGCAGGTAATTAGAGGGCAGAGGAATGGAGAATCCCCTGTATTCTTCTCCTTCCCTCTCTCTTCTGGGCAATGCCTCAGTAGCCTCTCTCTGGATCTCGTTCCCACAGGACTAGTCCATAGTGATTCTATTTCCAGTGGATAGCCCTGGTCACAAGGTACTCTGCATTTAATTTTCCCTCCCTTACATTCTTGAATAGGTTCTGTTTTGCACGATCTGCGGATACCATGCATACATGATTTCATTAACTTGTTTGGGATTCTCTCTCTCCCCACCCATCTCTTTCTGCCCCTCCCCTGCTTGCACTCTCTTTCTCTCTCAAAATAAATAGATAAAAAAAAAAGTCAGTCTGAGGGGTCTCTTAAATGTGGAGACTAAATGAGTTGACAAAGTCTAGAATGGTTACCTGCTTTTTAACCTTCCCCATGGTGTAATCAATGGGGATAACATTGACTGAAGTAGGGCATGCAGAAAGGAAAGTCTTGAGGGCGTGCGATTGGAGAAGAAAAGCGTCAAAACTTTTATATTTAGAGGTTAGAGAGAGAGATGCTTCAGATTTGGACATATTTTTTTTTTCATGTAGATCCTGTGTGGGATTCTGCTGTGTGTCAGTAGGAAGTTTATTTCAGATCTTCAAAAAAAGCAACCGTTTTACACAGGCTACCTAGTTTTAACACTAACCCAAACACTAGAAAAAATGGCTATAAAATGGAATATGCTCAGTTTATATTTATGTGTTCTATGCTATACTTCCAAAGTCCAGGCCCCACTCAAAGGGCTTTAATATTTTTCTCTTTTCTGTGAAATTTGTTGCTATAATTATAAATTTGAAGCAGTTAAGATATTGAGGGTAATTTTCTTTGTCTACCTTAAAATAAATTTGAAGACTTAATAGAAGTTATAAAATTAATCGGTAAAGTTTGTAACATTTATCCCACTCAAAATAGATTGACTCAATTTGGTAGCATTCACACTGGATTTATGTCTACACTATAGGTATTACATTTTACTGTTGTAATATACATTTCAGGGACCTGGTTTAATTCATCCATATTTGTGAATAAACTATTACAATGGTCCTGCTTTATTAAAATGTTACACTATGCGCAGTTACAGGGATCAGGGGACATGTATTTTGAGCCCTAACCAAAATGAAACCAATCCATTTGTGATATTCCTTTGCATCACCCTTGTGTTTGCCTTGCTCCGTGTTATTTCTTCTCCTTCCCCTCTTCCTCCCCTTCCCCCTCCTCCTCCCCCTCCTCCCCTTCCCCTTCCTCCTCCCACTCACTTCCTCCCCTCTCCTCTTCCTCCTTTTTTCATATCTTTCTCTTCCCCACTCAGCTATTTCACTCACTTTTCGGCTATTCTTCTTCTTCTTCTTCTTCTAATTGTATATTCTTGTGCTAGGTGCTGAAAATGGGCCCAGTAGGTGCAGAGGCTGATGAGAACCAGACAGTGGAAGAAATGAAGGTGGAGAAGTACCATCCACGGCAAACCACTCCTAGAGGTGAGCTGGCCCCTGACCCTGAGCCAGAGCTTCTAGACAGCACCATGCTGATTGAGGTGCAGATTATCCTCATATTAGCTTATTGCTCTATCATCTTGCTCGGGGTAATTGGAAACTCTCTGGTGATTCACGTGGTGATCAAATTCAAGAGCATGCGCACAGTAACCAACTTTTTCATTGCCAATCTGGCTGTGGCAGATCTTCTGGTGAACACCCTGTGCTTGCCATTCACTCTTACCTACACCTTAATGGGGGAGTGGAAAATGGGTCCTGTCCTGTGCCACCTGGTACCCTATGCCCAGGGCCTGGCAGTGCAAGTGTCCACGATCACCTTGACGGTAATTGCCCTGGACCGGCATCGTTGCATTGTCTACCACCTGGAAAGCAAGATCTCCAAGAGAATCAGCTTCCTGATTATTGGCCTGGCCTGGGGCATCAGTGCCTTGCTTGCAAGCCCCCTGGCCATCTTCCGCGAGTACTCGCTGATTGAGATTATTCCCGACTTTGAGATTGTGGTCTGCACTGAGAAGTGGCCTGGTGAGGAGAAGAACATCTATGGCACCATCTACAGTCTTTCTTCCTTGTTGATCCTATACGTTTTGCCTCTGGGCATCATATCTTTTTCCTACACTCGTATCTGGAGTAAACTTAAGAACCATGTCAGCCCTGGAGCTGCTAATGATCACTACCATCAGCGAAGGCAAAAAACGACCAAAATGCTGGTGTGTGTGGTAGTGGTGTTTGCAGTCAGCTGGTTGCCTCTCCATGCCTTCCAACTCGCTGTTGACATTGACAACCAAGTCCTAGACCTGAAGGAGTACAAACTCATCTTCACTGTGTTCCACATCATCGCCATGTGCTCCACCTTTGCCAACCCCTTTCTCTATGGCTGGATGAACAGCAACTATAGAAAGGCTTTCCTAGCAGCCTTCCGCTGTGAGCAGAGGTTGGATGCCATTCACTCTGAGGTGTCTGTGACGTTCAAGACTAAAAAGAACCTGGAGGTAAAAAAGAACAATGGTCCCAATGACTCTTTCACAGAGGCTACCAATGTGTAAGTAAGCTCTGGTGTGAAAATATGTTGATGAATTCCGACCAGAGCTATAAATCGGTTGAGAAGGGCTCCCGGGTGCATCCTGATTTCCCATTTCAAGGCAGGAGAAGAGGATCCGAGTGGAAGCAATTGCAGTGTGATCTGTGGAAAGAAACCTGGTTGGCAGAGCCTCCATGAAAATACTCCCATTCAAAGATAGGGCAGTGAACAGTTTGCTTATAGTTGCTTGGATGGTAGGTCAAATTATGAGTAAAAGCAGAGGAATGCTTTTGACTATTTCTCAGAGTGAAGGAAACCTGAACAAGGAATGAACATGACATCAGCATTGCTAGAAGTGGTTGGCTAAATAAATTGCCTTTCAAATCATATTAGGGCATGGACTGGGGGTGATGTGCTGCTCACTGCCCCCTCATCTGATGAAAGGACTACCCAACACCAATTTCCCTAGGGAGCTGCAGGCTCTTCTGTATTGGGTTTTTTTTTTTTTTTAATTATTCCTCCTATGGACCAATCCTTCAGGGAACGTTACCAGCTATTTGAATGACTTCCAGGTGATAAACTGAAATTTGCTATATAATTAGTATTTTGGCGAGTGATGAGGGAAATCTTTAACACTGAGTTCACCAGGTGTTCTTAAAACCAAATACACATTTAGTGAAAAGTGTCTCCAACTCAAAATTGAAGGCTGAAATTCTCAGTTTTAGAAATGTAACCCATCATTTAGCTTCTCATTTCAAGTTGTTGCTGCTTTGTAAATACTATTTATGTGACAACAAATGAACATACAGCTCAATACTTTTAACCATTGCTAACTGTTATAACTTTCTGAACATGTATTATTCCTATGTTGGAGTTGAATGTGTCTTCACTAAAATTGATTCAGATTAAAAAATAATTTTTGTGGCATTTTGCCACATTTTGTGATTATTGGTAAACAGTTTTTGCACAGATACATAGCTCTATTGTGTTTACAGAACACCGTAGTGTTCTTTTTTGAAATTCATCTTCCATGGACGTGGAATTCATTTTCCATGGTTCATGATTAATAAAACAATATAATTTCATCAAAATGGAACCCATCTGGTAAGAAATATTAAAAACACTGCATGCATTCCACTTTGCAAATGTTCTATTTGGACCAATTTCAACATAAATTATCCTCTTCTCAAAATAATTAGCTATGTATTTTTGGATAACTTATGAATATATACATAAGAAAATTTTACCTATAAATAGTGGAGTGTAGACGCTATAGTACTCTTCATTGAATGAGTTTGTGAATACTATTTTTATTTCAATAGTACCCAGTCAAAGATGCTTAAAACCCTAGTATGTTTATGAAAACACACTGAGATGTGAAAATAGTTGTACTTCTTTGGATTCTGTTAAAGAAGTTTCATTGCAATCATATTTTTGTCAGTATGACTGAATTTGGGAATAGATTTCTTAAAGTTTAAAAAACTTCAGCATGAATATTACGTTTAGGTACAAACATGAGCTTCATGAACGGAGAGAGTTCAACTTTACGGATATATTTAAAAGTCATATTGTGGCTCTTGTTGAATTATTTCCGATGTAGAAGTAAAGATCTCGAAGTGCGCTGTACCTCTGGAATACTGAAAGAGAATGAAAACAGTGGAAGACTAATTAAGAAGCAAACAAAAAATAATATATATATATGTAATGTACCATGTAACGGACAAATTCATTTTTTTTTGTGGGACTCTACATAACTGTTCAAGGAAAAACTTTTTGTCCTTTAAAAAGCAATTAGTTTGCTTAACATGCTAATAGATAGTTGTGGTTACAATGTTTTGTTTTGTTTTCCCTCTTGGAGAATTCTTACCCTGTAAGGAATGCGTATGCCACTGTATTACCAGTTGTAGTAGTAAATTATTAGAATCGTTTAATGATCCAGTTAATACTTGTGATGTAATTAATCTTTTTATGTTGTGATTTTATCTGTTGAAATAAAAGACATTGGGAAATTAGAGAAATTGCGTCATATTTTATATCAAAGTTTCTGTCCAAAGCGAAATCGTAAGCCTCTGATACAACCAAAAGAAGGAAAATAATGGTGGCTTACAGGTAGTTTAGCTTTCTTTCTTTCCTATACTTGAACGTGAGTGAATGGATTCACTCCTATGGCTGCAGTTATAGTCCATATTTTGACAATGTTTGAATCTTTAAGACCAGACCTTTCTTCTAAACTAACTTCAAACCTGTATGTATCCCTATCAGCTGACTGGACACATCTACATGGGTATCTCATCAGCAAATTAAATCCAACATGTCTACAACAGAACCTGCCATTTTGATCCACACCCCACCTCACCTCAACTTTGTTTTCCTATATTTCTGTCCTCTGTCCTAATCATGACACTGCTACTCATCTAGTTCCCCAAGGTCTTATACTTTGGGGTCACCCTTGACTCTTGGGTCTCTTTAGTACACATGTCCAAACAATTCCCACATTTTGTTCTAATTTCTAGATGTTCCTTGAATCAATTCATTTTTCTTCATCCCTATGCTCCCCACCATAGTACAAGTTGTGATTATCTTCTCAGACCTGTATTATCTCGCCTCTGGTTTAATGTTGCAGCTTCCTAATTGGTCTCTATATCCAGTCATCTTCCTATCAAATCCAACTTTCACCCACTAGCCAGAGTGATTTTTCAGAACCTGAAATTTTATCAAATCACTTTTCTGATAAAAACTCTTCAATGTCTCCTCATCATAGTTATGATAAAGTCAAAATCTTTTTATGATTTGGAAAGCTATTTAGTACCTGACTCTACCTCTATGTTTTATCCCTTGCAAATTCTGTTTCTCTAATCTTTGCTGCTATATTTTAAGCATATGAGGGCAGGGGACAGGGACTGGTTTAATCATTGTGGTATCACAGGTACTTGCAGCTTCTGGCATCAAGTTTGTGGTCAGTAAAAGGAAACTAAGTCAATGAGTCAAGGAAATACTAAAGCCGAGATTTGAAGAAAGATTTTTAAGATTGTAAACCATAAACTTTTCCCAGTTTTATTATACAACTCGCAGGAGAGTAGAGTTTTAGCCATACAGGAGTCAAGTAAAGATGTATATTTGTTCAGGATTAGGTTTTTTTTGAAGACCATTAAGTATAGACACTTGCATAATTAGAAAGGGCTCTATACATACATATAATTTAGGGTTCACTAAAAATTATCTAGAACGTTGCACAAGGGAAGCATGGAAGGGCCAGTAAACTGTACTAGTCATGATTCAGATAGCTAAAGAGAAGCCATGCTAGGTATTTAAAGCAAAAAGTCATTTAATACAGGAAATTAAAGTCTTGGAAAATCACTGGAAGCACTGGAGAAGTGAAGGTTAAGAAAAGCTTCCACCGGCATTGAAGAAACCAGGAAGCACATAATTGTATGAAACCACTGCTAATGCCTACAACAGAGAGCGGATGATACACAGGAAAGAGTTCAGGTTTATTATCATATTGCCTGTTAATATCTATTGATAGATGAATGGATACGCACGCACAAACACACACAAACACACAATGGGATATTATTCAGCCATGAAAATTGATGAGATTTTTGCCACTTGTGACAACATGGATGGACCTGGAGGGTATTATTATGTTAAGTGAAATAAGTCAGACAAAGAAAGACAAATACCATATGATTTTACTTATATATGGAATCTAGAAAACAAAACAAATGAACAAACAAAAAGCAGGAGCAAACCCATAACTACAGGGAACAAACTGATGGTTCCCAGAAGGAATGTGGGTAGGGGAATGGACAAAATGGGTGAAGGGGAGTGAAAGGTACAGGCTTCCAGTTATGGAATGAATAAGTCAAGAGGATAAAACATATAGTATAGGAAATATGGTCAATGGTTTTGTAATAGGACTGTACAATGACAGATAGTAGCTACACTTGTGGAGAGCACAGCATAACATATAGACTTGTCAAATCTCTATGTTTTGAGCCTGAAACTAATGTAATGTGTGTCCACTATATTTCAATAAAAAAAAAAATCTTATTGCTTCCGGATAAGCCCACACTCCTGCCCACCCCTGCCATAGAATCAATAATGTCTTTTGCTTCTCTTTTGCATCTCAGAATTCATGTGAGTATCTCTCATTTGTGGACTATAACTCTAGCCTTGCTGTCGGGTATTTGGGGAAAATGTAGTTCTTAGGTTTCTAGCCCCTAAGATATAGGGAGAGCATGGAAGGGAAAATACGGTGCCTAATTGCTATCAGACAATCTGGCAATCTTAAGAATTGCCCAAATGGTGTAATTTCTAGTTTCAGCCTCATCCCAGGTTCTTCAGAGTTACAATGATGCATGTTGACTGTATATTTTCTTTTTTTTTCTGTAATCAAGGCCAGTGTGTTAAAGATTCTCTTTAAAACTTCCCCATTAGTACAGATGGACTGAGGAGGAAAGTATAAGGAAGGACCATTTTCTTCCTGTGGTATGTTGCTTGGAATGGAGGAGTAAAGAATTATATCAAGATTTAATGATCTAAAATCCACAGAAGAATATAAATTCTCAATTAACTTCCTGGGATGAGCAAAAGACGTGATGCCTTATAGAGAAAATAATCTTTGACATTTTCAAGTTGATAAAGGGATGAAATATTAATATATACGGCTGCAAAAAAACAATGGATTTACTTTTCCATAGGAAAACAGAGAACCTAAAGAAACAACACAAGAGTAAAGAATGCAGACATCTTCATGATTATGTTTTATGACATCAAAGGTAGGAATTTTATTAAACAAAGGGTCACTAAAGATTGACTTGTGAGGATTTATAAAAGACATCTGTTAGATCATTGACCTAACAGTCAATGGGTGAACTTATAGGAAAGATGGAATGTGGGTTAGACAATTCACATGTTATCTGTAACTCCAACTCTTTCTTCTTAGTCCATGAATATGTAACTGAATGGAAGTAAGTGAAAATGACTCACTCTGAATCTACTGTCCTTTATGAATAAATCATT